TTCCGGACCTCTCATATTGAGCGGTGGCCATATACAGATGTATACATATATATATATATATACAAGGGTAAAGCGTGGGTCCCCTGGGGGGGTACCATATATAATATACATATATATATATAACACATGTGCCTACACTCTACGGCAAGTGTTGTTCGCAATACCACATCCGATCAGATCGCGACAAGGTTTCCCTTCAGTGCTAAGAAAATCCGTGTAATGAATCCTGTTCTGAGTACCGATGAGTCATCGGGACCAGTGTACTACAATCTGTAATCACCTCTGCTAAGCCCCTCAAGCCCAAACCGTCTAATACACTGCGGCATCCAATTTCCTGAAAGAACATGAGGTGCGCACTGCAGCCATGCAGACTAGAAGTGCGCGTCGGACCCGCTCAATTGTCACCTCGGCATCAACGTGATTCCTCCTCCGGACTAATGTGATGTTCAGATTTCAGCTATGTTTTATTTGGATGTCTCAGACTTGAAGGCTCAGGTGTCTACTTTGCTTGGTCGATGGCTTGTGGTTGGAATTTCTATCAACTCTTCACACTCTGCCTCGATGTTGCTGTAAGGGTATTGCAGGAATCCCATAGTCACAAATCAGGTCAGACTACAACTCAAGCCAGCTATTCCTGGTCAAAGATAATGCAAGTACGAAAGGCAATCCCGATCGTTGTGGCCTAAGGTAATATCCCTTATATAAAATACTATTCTCCAAAAGGAGGATATGATCTTACTCTTATATTGGGTACCATAGTATCCCAAAATAAAATACTACTCAGGTGAGATGCCCGGGCAGGCCTCCCCAAGTGCGCGCCAGAGCAGGTCGAAAGGAAGCTTTCGCCTCATGCAAGCTCCGCGCGCATGCTTCCAAAAAAGGGTGCCCGACCCATATATCTCAAAATGCCCCTGGCAGCCCACTTACCTGTATGGTAGGTTTCTGTGTTGTAGGTAGTGTGGATTCATATAGGAGCTGAGGAAGATTGAGGAACAATAGCCCACAGGTATCTGAGCTTCTGGGGGACTGTCATGCACACTATGAGAGGTAAATTCGAAAAAAATGTGCTTCTTTGCTCCGAGAAGAGTTCCGTGGAGAAGTTGAGTCTGTCACGAAGGCAAGTCCACCTCGTGTTCAGCTACCATCCTGTGTCTTCCCACCAAAGCCTGCTTCCCACCAACCCCATAGGCCCCTGACAACACCCAAAGGAAACATTCCAAAAACAAAAAAGCCCAGCCATGCAGATTGTTTGGGGCCAGCCTGGTTGAGGGCGTAAGGGATGCCAAGACAACAAGGATCTCTGCCCACCTATCCTATCGATGCACATACTTCCTGAACAGACGTGACGGCTGACAGGAATTGATTGTCTTTTTGGATTGTGGGCTTGGGAATCTGCATGTTGTCAGTGCATGAGTTTCGGACAGGCAGGGTGGGTTGGAGGCTTTGAAACCTGCTTGTTGGGGTGGTCCCGTGCGTGGGGTTCGGAAATGAGGACATAATTGTCATGTGATCCCATGTTGTACAAATTGCCCAAACACAGGACGTTAAGGAAGACACGCAAGAGGCTGCTGTTTTTGACCCCCAAATTCTAAACCCTGGCCCCCGGCCCGGGCCTCCAAACCTGCGCCAGGAAGAATACCAAACCAGAGGCTAAAACAAACCCACCAGAATAGTTTTGGGTGGCTGAACTAACACGAGTATGTTCTTCTTGCAAAACAAGAAAGAGGAAAAAAGCAATCTTACTCCGTAGTACGGGGGGGCTGCAGTATACTGATCTGCGAAATTGTTCAGCTGTCCGCGCCTATCCGAACTCTCGCTGAGGGAAGCCAGAGGCAAAGCCGCTAGAGCCTGTGGTCGATTCATTGTGCCATTCTTGGGGGAAAGTACTAGTAGTAGATTAAAGTCATCATTATTAGGTGGGGGGAGCTATGTAGAACGACATACTACCTCTCCTAGTGCTGGAATGGCGAGCATCTTTTCAATGAGGACTCACCAATACTTTGGTTGAACATGTTACTTCAGCAGTCAGACACAATATCCCTTCGGGGCTTCAGGCTCAGAATCGAAGCTTCCTTTTGAGGTTGAGGAACCACACGGTTTAGGGTTTTAGGGTTTTAGGGTTTAGGGTTTAGAGTCCAAGCAGCCAACAAAACGCGAAAGATTGCGATGAGGCCTGGAGTGTGGAGGTGTTTAGGGCCAATGCCGTTCAACCATGACATGATGCCCAGGCCAACCAGCATGCCCCTGCAATCCGGTATAACAACTACTGAAGTGGTCACAATACAGATGAGGTAGCCAGACAAGGTGATGGTACATATCGCATCCCATCGCAACTGTTTTTTGGATGTTCCTGCGTCTAGTCGCATGGGCAACTTGCAAATGCAAGTGCTCTTCAAAATCCTCACCATCAGCGAGGGTGCTCACTGTCGACCGGATCCATCCGGCCTGCACCGTCCACTGCTGTTGAGTGGAGCCTTCTGGAGAGGTCGTGGCTTCCTGTAGGAAATCGAAGAAGTAGTTTCCGTCTTCTCTTCCAGCATCCCCCATATAACCCCTACATACTATAGTAGTTTCCATGTTCTCTTCCAGTATCCCCGGTATAACCCCTATCTTAAGGCTGATCCCGGCCACGTTGAAGGCTTGGACTTGTCCTGGCAAGTCCATCTACTCCATTGGGTCGGGCTTTGAAGCTAGCATCCCCGCAATCGAAGAAATAAGTGCACAGTGCTTCCAGGAACCACATTGCAGTCACACAGGCATTTGTCCCCTTCAAGCTGACGTCCTGCAAAGATGAGTCTTTGTTCAGTAACAGGTATTCCCTCCATCTTCTCAACCATGTGCATGACGGTATCTTCATTGCAAATGGTATCGTTGATGATGCAGAGGTCCGGGTCACGGGTCCATGATGCTGGGCGTGGCCAGAGGGACGCAGGCGGTGCTCGCCCAAAGGTTTTTAGATACCTGCTCCATCTTGCGAGGCGAGACATTATATAGGTAATACTTACTACGTCATTTCTGGGACACACGTTGGCAAACAAACATATGAGTGCGTCAAGTTGCCCACTTACCCAAGCCTATACCAGATTCAAGCTTAGGCACTTTTTGAAGGTGCAATGGTATCGGCCGCCCTGAAGTTGGTCCTTGCTTCGTGGGTCGTGGTCAATGATTTCGCCCGTTAGGCGGTGGCAAAGAGTCTGATAGGCCCGCGGAAAGAGCATCAGCCCGTGCCAGACTGCATCCACCTCGGCGGAAGGCGAGAGCTGGGCACTGGGAGTGATGCAGGGACGTTTGCTGGGTGGCTCTGCCTCTGACGCCAACTCTGCCTCTGACGCCAGCCTGGGAGGAGCCGTGTCACTGTGGATCGCTTTCAAAAGGAAGAAGCGGCTGAACTCGACGAGAAGCTCATCAAGAGATGCAGTCTCACATAGACTAAGTGCCCACGGTGGATCGTCACCGTCTGCGTTGTCAGCTTCCTGCTCCAAGTACTGCCGAAGCGCATGGCCGTCTGAGCTTTCCCAAAACCGGGCGAGCTCAGCTGCAGCAGCCTTCGCCACAACCGACACCGCGGGTCCTAGGATCTGGGTTTCTGCAATGCCAGCCTTTCCGCTCGTCACGAAGCTTTCTGGCTTGAACTGATGTCGAGGAGGCGGGCCGACCCTGGTGGTAGGCTCTACTTTCAGCTTCAGTGTTTTGCCAGAAAGTGTCTTGATGTAGATGCGCATGGCTTTGCGAGGTCACACTCTTGGACCCCTCGATGCCACATGGAAAACCTACACCATCCTAAGCCTTGCTGCAGGCTTTACTACAACATAATGCCACACCTATGCCGCATCTTCTCTGAACCGTCTGAGAAATGCAATTGTACATCAACGTGCCCATGACCATGTGCATGAGGCTGCTCCTCCGTGGCTTTTGAGCTAGAGCTCACATGCAGCAACTAATGCACCCGGTGCATTATGTACTCGGGTGAGCGTAAGAGAGCCCACATCAAAGCACTGCCCAGGTCTGGAGTGTTGCCCTGTCAGCGGAGGCTTTACAGCTCTTAGGCTACCCAGTGTCAAGAACAAGACCTGATACATATCTCGCATGATGTAATAATGCGTTTGGGCTGATGCTGGCAAAGCAATTGCAAGAATTGCTCATACCACCCCCCCTGTCAACATCCAACAAATTTAAATGAGAACCTACAAATCAGAAAAGAACACCTGCCAAACCCAGGGCTGCTAGGGCTCCTGAATCCGCCAGCAAGCGGCGTCCCTACTTCCGGGTAGAGTCTGCCAGGCTTACAACTTAGATTCGTTCTCGCGATTCGCACCATGCTGACACTGGGCAGGTTTACGGTCAATAAGCTTCACCTTTCCAAGAAAACATACACAACTTATTTCTACTTGTGATTCTGTGCCGGTCCGGATTACAACAATCGTCGCAATGTCTGTTGTCCTTTCCAGTTCTGGCCTGTCTGACCCGTTGTTGTAGTCGTCACCGTGACGATTCCTGCGACTCCTTCTGCGGTTGCTAGCGTTATTGTCACTTGGCTATCATCACTAGCAGCATGTTTGATACTATCGCTGCATGCTCGTGAATTCCCGCTTCACTATTCCAGGCTTACAGCGCATTATGACTGTGATACCATCGCCTGCCTCGGCGACCGGGACGGCCGAGCTTGCGTTTGCTGTGTTTGAGCCGTCGACCTGCCAGGTGACGACTTCGGGGGAGGAACGGGCTTGAGACCTGAAAGATGCCTACCTGATGGGTAGTTGATGGTTAATATTAGTTTTAGTTTTAGGATTAATATGAAAAAATAGTCGTTTTAGTATGATTAGCTCCCCTATACTACGTTTGCATTAGCTAAAACTCAGCCTGCATGCTGGTGTATTCACCTCTTCCTTCAATGCTCACGGTCAGTTGTGCCTGAATGAGTTTGGCACACGGTAGTTAAACCATATCAAAGAAAACGGCCTGCAACCCTTTGCAAACACCAGGCAGAAACCGTAAACGGTTCACCCATCATGGCAAAGGTAATCACCCTTCCTGTTCTGATCCATAGCTTCTGTTGTCCACCCTTTTACTACGGTGACTACAGCAACTGTAGTGACAGCGGAAACGTTAAAAGCTGTTGATCATGGGAATGAAGCAACAGCACTAATTGGCCATCGCATGTTCAGCAATAATGACAGAGGGAAGCTTTTCAAAGTAGGGGCCAACAAAACGACGTGTAGTTGCACTTGCTCATCAAGGTGTTCATTGTCTGGGAAGCGGAGAAATCCCAGGTCTGCCAACATCCCTGACAACATCACAATACATCCCATATACACTTCTACCACAACCCAAAACAAGACTACAGAGTACACCTGGGGAATCGAGGTAAGTGGTGGGGCGGCCTCTCCGGCAGGGAGTGCTGAGCTTGCGTTCGATGCCGGGATGACGCCGAGCTGTTGTTGCGGAGGCGACTAACTTCTATATGCTAGAGTAGGCATAGGTCTTTTTTGAAAACCAAGGCATTGATGACAGGGGAGCTGCATTCGAACCTAGATGGAGCCGTATAGGCTTCAAAGTTCAAAAGCGTATGTTTTCAGTTCAGCTCACGACTGGCCATGCTCTAGGACTGGTGAAGCTGGTTGTGCTTCTGCAAAGCCCTTAAAACACTTTTGGGTGGAGGGTTATGGAGGTTTGACGCGTGGACCAACAAACTTCACACTGGTCCAAACCAGTCAGAAAGATCATGTCAACATGCTCACTTCAAACAATGTCCATGGTCGGAACCTTTGATGAGCTACTGGGAGGCACCAAGCCCCAGACCCTGGACCACTATGTACACTGTCTTCAATTAAAAGTTTGAGGCACCCTAGGCTGGGGGTACAGTGTTTCTGAAGGCCTAGCAAACATTCAAGACCTAAATCATATAGCGCAAGATCCTAATTTGGAACCCTGGTAAGGTATCTGTCCGAACCGCGCAGTCCTTCCTGACAAGGACCCTTGTTTTGTATAAACACATGAGCTATAGTCTAAACTCCTAGTATCCCCCCTATAACCCCTATAGTAGTTCCCTATAAAATCCCCTATATAACCCCCTTTAAGGAGTTTAGACTGTAGCTCACATGGAACACAATTACCAAGCCCAAAATCTTTGAACCTCAGCCCTGAAGTCTACACACTCTGCATACAAATCCATAACCACCGTGAAACGTCCGCTCTGCATGGACCAACTTTAAGCAACTTTCTCAATTCCTGGCTTTTTGCTGAAAATCGCATTCACTGCGCAAATTGAGACCTGGACTTGAAGGCGCGCCTGCAATAACAGCACATCCGAAATGGTTTGCTCCGCCTGCCGTTGAGGGATGGTGGTTTGGGCTCTGTACTACCCTCTTGGGCCATGGGGGAAAGAGGTGTAGTCGGTGTTGTGATTATACTTGATGATCATATAGAGGGGCTCGAATACCGCAGCAGCGCGGATAGCGAAAGCCCCCAGTACCCTGCTAATGGCCCGACTTGGGAACTGGGTACGCCTA